GGCTGGTTCAAATGTATTGCTAAATCATATTTTAGCATCCTGACAATGAACCTAGCCTCCTCCTAGCTCATGTGCTCAACTTCAGGGCAGCCGCAAGGAATTCAGTAGTTATTTTGATTAACTGCAGCTTTCCATGTGGTTTAGCCACATGCAGACTTTGGTTAATTTTAATTATGGTTAGTTGAAACAAACCAACTTGAAACAATATTTTATTAGGTCGGTTTATTTTTACTAGCCATAGCAGTTAAGTGCAGTTTACAGTTTTGACCACCTGCTAATTACTATGTAATCTAAAATGCTTCCAATTTCTTCATGGTTGCATCAGAAGGGAACCAAGTGAGGCTGGAAGGCAGGAGTGGAAAAGCTAGGCCTATTCTAAACTACAGCCCAGCATTGTATCACAATTCTGCCATTTTCTAATTGGCTCCCACTAGCTTCTGCCATTCTGTGGGTGCAGTCAAATGAAATATTCATATTGTGATATCATTGTACTAGCAAAACTATTATCATATTGATATTATAGAAATCTGCCCATGGCTTAGAGACACCACTGAGATTGAGATTCAAGGATAATATGAGAATGAAAGAATATTTTCATGTGTGAAACCAGATTCTCATGATAGAACCTGCTTTTCTACTTCTGTAAGGTCTAGTAATTATATCAGTACGGCAGAAGCTACATCAGGGCACCAAGCTTTGTATGCCTTGGGCACACTGGGAATTTTCAGAAAGTGTCATGGGCACAACCACAAAATGACTGCCAGGGAGCAAGGTCAGCCACAAAATGTATTGTAAACTTAGGTGGATTGCAAAGGTACAATATGAGTGTACATGAAGAACCATGAACAAACTATGCTATACATTTAATTGCTAGCCTAAGTGTTTCAGTATGTACCCCCATGTTTATATAATTACCAATACTTGTGCTGTTTATGCATCTAATGAATCAAGATCTTGTTTTCAGAAAATGTGTGCAGAAATAAATGTAAGAGGTTTTCTTTTAATGCTATAGGACTTCTACAGTCCTGGCACCGAGGGCTGGGATATTCACATCTTGGAACTGGAAGAATAGGCCACTTTTTGTTGACAAAACCTGCCACTATACCAGCTGTCTGTCTGAACATGTGTATGCATAATAAAACAAACAGGCATACCTAAAGTAGTCCCCTGTGAATTAATTACCTTCCAATTCAATTCTAAATGTAATTCCTCTTAAGTTAATTTTAACTCCCTTAGCAGCAGTGCCATGCATTTCTCCTTTTAACAGGTATCTCCACCATGCTGTATTGCTTCTTAATTCTGGTTGGCTGCAAGTATGCAAGAATGGACTTTCCATTTGGCTTTTCAGTTGTTACAAGCCTGGGGTAGATGGGCGAAATAGAGAAGCAGATGGGCACTGTATGGCCATGTAGTTTCAGCTATTGGGGCAGGGAGACCAGCGGAGTCTTCTGAGGACACCAATCACTATAAGTGTATCGTCAACCATGGGCACCATATTGGGGCTGCCAGAAATGCTAAATGTTCTTGTTAATATTTATTTCTGATGTTTTAAATGTGTAGGACAAGGTATACTGCAATACAAATTAAGCTAAAGGGCAGTAGTCACAGTCCAAGTGGTGCCATTGTGGGTGGGTGAATGGATGGGTGGATCCTCCCTTTCAGCAGATTTAATCTAGTATTTAGTAAGCACCTATTTCAGACAGAGCTCGTACATAAAAATCGAGCTACAGTCAAGAGTCTCGAGTTTGAGTTTATTGCAAAAATGATTATACGATACATGGAAGTCGATATCGCTTCCCTTGTTAGACTGCAATCACCAAACCTTCAGCTCTGTTTAGAATTGCAGTGTATAAATTGTGATTCTTCTTCCTAACCTATCACTTTTAAAAGTGACAAATGAAAATTTATGATGTAAGGTAATTAGGAATCATTTGCATTACTAAGGAAGCTCGTTGTTAGATGTGGCTGCTCTATTAACTTCAATAGAAACTTTCTCCCTTTTATTTTCACTCTAATATGTTCCCAGGGACAAGGATAGTGGAATTTCATGCCCACACTGGGCTGGATGGATATTTTAAACCCCTCCTCTCAAACTCCATGGTTCTGATCTGATTCAGCCGTGCACATGCTTACAGGAGAATCAGAAAAGCTAGCACAAGCATCCTCCATGATGCATTCTTTTCCAGATGTTTAGTTTTGCCATATCTCTGGCCATAGTGAGGTTACAGAAGTTGTAGGAAAGCAGAGTGAAATGGGAATAAAATCAAGAAGAAAAAATATAGAATTCAGAAATGCATTAAGTATCTAACAAAATTGCATTGAAAGGTTCCAAGTCTAGAATAGTGGATCAGTGATTTGATCTCTGGAAACATTAGATGCTGGACTTGTAAAATGAAGTGATGTGATATATATAATGGCTCCTTGATGCCTGAAGGACAGTGGCCATAAGGCTACTGTCATCTATCCAGGAATACAAGTGTCAGGATCTGGGCAGCTTTGGGTCTCCTCCTGCTGGCCAAATGCCAGAATAAGAGCAGTTGGCAGGGCCTTCATGAAGACCACCTGGGAACTCTGAGGGAAGGGCTATTTAAGAAGTGGCTCTTCTCTTCAGAAGCTGAAGCTTTCTGTGGTGTCTGGTTCCTGTCTGCTGTTGCTCCTGGACCTTGATTCTGCTCCTGCAGTATTCCTGTCCTTGTGCTATCTTCTTGGCTCCTGACCGCTGGCTTGTTTTGACTATGCTTTGCCATCTGGAGTATGCTTTGTTTACTCCTGACTTGACCTTGGTTTGCTATGCAGAATGATTTGGATTTGGCTGGTGACTGGGCTTTGGTTATGTTTTACTTATTTAAAATTTTTTGGTATCCCACCCTTTACAGTGCCTCAGGGTGGCAAGAACTTAAGTTAATAAGACAAAGCATCACGATAACATATAAATCAATGTTAAAAACAATACTAACATTTTAAAATTCTGGTAAAATAGGAAATGAAAAAAGCGTCAGCACCAGGCTCACCTCTCTGGGGAGAAGTGATACATTCCATAGCCAGGGCACCACCACAGAGAAGGCCCTTCTCAGGGAGCCACTCTTCTGATTTCCTTCAAAGAAGGAAAGGACCTCCGCTACAGACCTTAGAGGCTGAGCAGGTATATAAGGGAGGAGGTGCTCCTTCAAATGTCCAGGTCCTAAGCTGTTTAGGGCCTTATAAGTCATCACTAGCACCTTAAATTGGGCCCTGACTTCAACTGAAAGCCAGTGCAGATGGTACAGGACCGGCATTATGTGTGCATATCTGCTGGTCCATGGAGCAACTTGGCTGCTCTGTTCTGAACCAATTAAAGTATCTGGACTGTCTTCAATAGCAGTCCCACATAGAGCACCTTACAATAGTCCAATTGGGAGGTTACCAGCACATTGGTCACCATTGCTAGGCTCTGCTCATCCAAGTAAGGGGGTGGTGGATGGATCAGCCAAAGCTGAGGGAAAATGCTCCTCGCCACAGTAGTCACCTAGAACTCCAAGGATAACTCTGGGTTGAGGAGTACTTCCAGACTATGCACCCTGTCTCTTAGGGGAAGTGCAACATCGTCCAGAACAGGGCAAAGATCACTTACCTAGAGAGTTGAACTACCTACCAACAGGACCGCCATCTTGTCTGGATTAAGTCTCAATTTATTAGCCCTCATCCAGCCCATCACTCCAGCCAGACACCAGTTAAGGACAACCATATAGCTTACTGATTGTATTATCTGGGTCCTAGTGCCTCTCTCCGGGTTTCTGCTGCCCATGCCCTGGGTCTTACAACAGGGAACCAAGCTGAGAATATGTCTTGCCATAGCAATCTGGAACAATTTAATCAAGAGACTTACTTGGTTGTGTCCACTTCCTGCTTATGTTCCCCCATCGTTCCACCCATTCTTGATATTCTGAGTACTCTAGAAGTGAAAAGGTGCAGTCCACCCTTTTTTCTTGGAATATGGAGGTTCGTCCACTCCAGTACCCTCTAAAAATGGGTGGGGGGCTGTACCACATGGGTACTTGGATGGACTCTCAAAAGCATCAGTGAGCCAAAATGGCTCCTAATTGTAGCAGAGAGAGCAACTTCAGATGTGAAGTCTTTCGAGTTGCTGGCAGAAGGACAGGAGTGACAACCAATGGTGAGCCTAGTCATCTGTCAGGAACACTGTGGCTTATTCTCACAAGACCCACTCAACCAAGGCTTATTGCCAGTCTAGGTTGGCAGGGCATGCAAACCTGCCCGCTGTATTTCTATTTAGCAATATATTATGATTTAGAAAATATACAGTGACTATATATCATTAAGATGCCTAATTAAATTGTATTTTGGAATAATGCAGCTTTGCATAATAATACAGCTATAATTAATTATGTGCAGCTTATAAAATAGTCTAGTTGAATTAAAATCAAAAATCAGCATACTATTTTGTTTAAAAAATATTGTTTTTAGCCCTGAAGATAAGTTTGAAGGTTTGTAATGACTAGTGAAATTTCAGAAGCTGGGGAAGGGCAAGAAGGGTTGTGGGGGTTATATACTGTATGCATTTTCATTTTATGCATCACTTGCAGGAGAATAATGCTATACAAATTATCTTTAGTTTGTGAAATTCAGATTGTAGAATTCAAAATTTTTAGTGAAGAATTGTGCTTAATCTTATTAATGATTTTTAGAGTTACTTTTATTACAGAATATACAGTATACTGTCTGCAGAAGTTGTTCCCATGTGGCATTTCATACAGCATTTCATTTTATGTCACTCTTTGATATTTAACTCTGTCATTGACTACAAAATGAGTTTACATGATTGAGTTTCCTTTTTTTGTTGATACAATAAGGAGCAGAATCTTAGCTAACTAGAGACCGAATTCTAGTTTGTTAATGCAAATGTTGTATGCATTATTTATTTATTTAGAAAATTTCTATAAGTATTTTACTTCTGGGTCTGGTATTTCTTTCCCTCTCTCACCCTTTCATTCTTTATTTAGCTGGACAATGCAGATGAGCAAGCAGCCCAGATTCGACGTGAACTTGATGGGCGCCTCCAAATGGCTGATCAAATGGCAAAAGTAAGTTTGCATTTCTGTTTCTAGCTTGGGGGAGTAGAATATTTCTCAGTATCTTTAACATAGTACTCCTATGTATGCTTCCTTGGGAATAAGTTCCACTGGATTTTGTGGGAGTAACTCTTTAAGCAGAATTTCCTGGATATGTATTTAAATGGATTTTCTGACGTTCATTCTTTGCTTGTCTCTGTCTGCCCATCCTCTGTTTTCTTCCCCACTCTCTGTGGGTCAAGGACCTGTCTAATTTTGCTTGTGATACTCTGTAAAGTGGCAGATGACACTGTATAAATAATATACTAGCACTGATGTGGCATTCTTATGCGGCCATAGACACAATTGGTAATTTGAGAACCCGTCCTGGGCACAAACTCAAACGGCTGCCATGAGAGGTGTTGAAAAAGCGCGAGTAATCTGACCAAAAGACGCAATATACGGCAGAATTGATCTGAGGCTCAAAACAATAAACAATTCATTTGAACTCACAGTTTTCAGCACCAATAATAATTTATTCACGGCAAGCCCAGCTGCCAATAAGAAAATTAATTTTTTGGAAAATGTGAGGGGCAGGGCACCATGGTGGGCACCCATAAAGGTGTCTGGGGGCACATTGTTGTCTTGTACTCCACATTACCTACCCCTGCTCTGTAGCATATTTATTAAGACTGAAATATAATAATATTTATTATTTTGGAAATAAAGTTGTAAGTGAGGGATAGGAAAATTGTGCCCCCACCCCCAGATATTACTGGACCACAATTTCCATCATACCTGACTTTTATTCATAGTTGGTTGTGGCCGATGGCTGAAATGACAAACAACATTTGGATGGCCACATGTTCATATCCTTTTTGGAAATAATAGTTGCTTATTTACACTACACATTAATACCTTGCAGAAGACCTAGCTGCTTCCACTGTTTACCTCATTGAAAAGAAAGGCAGTTGTACTCAATTTTATATACCATCCCATTCCCATAGGCTCCAGGTGGTTTATAAGAAATAAAAATAAATAAACTTTATAAAATTATTTTATAATTCAATAAAATATATTAAAGCTAATTCAAAACCCTTTACACTGCAATCTTATGCATGTCTGTTCAGAAGTAAGTTCCATTTTGTTCAGTGGTGCTTACTCACAGGTGAACAGATGCAGAATTGCAAACATCTAAACCACCAGTAGACTGGTTCAGGTATAAAGGCTAAACTGAGATTTGGCCATTGGGTCAGACCATGGGATTTGTGAGCGATCCCCATCCCTTATCTATCAGTTCCCTCCTGCACCTCCTGATTTGGGCAAACCAAAAATTCCCATTATGGAATCAATGGCATGCCATTTGTCCTTTGCCCTGTAAATCAGAATTGGAAACATGATCTCCCATTCTGTTTTCTAGGGCAGGCAGAAGCCATAAATTGCGAATTACAACAGCATGGCAAGGTATGGTTTGCTCAGATCCCAGGCATGCAAGAATGCAAGATGGGGGAGTAGGAGTGGCAAAGAGTGTGGAAGTCAGAGATGGCCACTAGACCTAAACCAGCACTGTGTTTAGACAAGAGAAGAGAAAGATATGACTCAGGGGTGTGCTCTTACAGAACCACAGGCATGTAAGAAAACATTTTTCTTGTATTCTTTTTAAATTCATTCTCTGCAGTGCCTTCCATCTTGAAAGGTTCTATGTCAGTTTCCAGACTCTGGAATGGAAATGTCAACTGTGCTGTTTAAAAGATGGAGAGTGTTTAAAGCCTTTTAAAGCTAATATTTGGAATCACAAATTTCATGGTTGAAGGAACAGGTGCATTATGTCAGTCTTGAGAACATAAAGGTCCCTGAGATTAAAGTAATTGCAATGAACAGGGTTTTTCAAAAGTATTTATTTTTGGCATTCAGATTCTTTCATTTTTTAATCCACCTGTCATTGAAAATTATGAAAATGTACAGAAGAACATATACCATTTCTTGAGAAATCTGACCCAAGCCTATTACTTCATGGGCAGTTTTTGTATAATAAATCAGGAGCTGATGTTACATGCACAGGCCTCTGTGAGCCCAAGAGAAACCTCCCTGTCTTTCATGTATCCAGCCAGAAGGACTCTTGCAGAGTTTCCTGGCTTCTTGTTAAATAAAAAGCAGGAATTGTTGCTTAAAACAAACTCTAGATTGTTACACAAGCCGGCAAAACCATCTAGGGTTGTTTGTTGACTTGCTGAGTGGTTGAGTAGAATACTTGCTGCTGCTGTTTAATTCTCGGTTCATATGTAAAGTGGGTGAGTAAAATTAAACTTAGCAGCAGACTGTGTAAAAGTGTGGAAGGAGGAAAGAGCAGCATTCATGAACAAGTCTGAGGCTTTGCTAAGGTTCTTAGAGGAACATGCATAAAGCACCTAGTATAAGCTTGCATGGACAATTGTATTTATTTATTTATTTGGGTATTTTTACCCTGTCCAATACCCTGCAGGTCTCTAGATGTCTTATAAGTCAAATATAATAAATACATATATACCCAAATAATACAAAATAATCCATGAACTGAGCATAAAACATAGTTAAAATATCAAACATTAAAAGTACAGAAGAATAAAAAGGTCTTGACCTGATGCCGAAAAGTATATAATGTCAGCACCAGGTGGACCTCTCTGGGGAGTGCATTCCATAGCCAGGAACCACTGCAGAGAAGACCCTCCTCCAAGTATGTACTCTCCTAACCTCCTTCAAGGAGGGTTCCTGGAGCAGGGCCTCTGCTGCAGATCTTAAGGGGCGGGTGGGCATGTCACCAACTGAGCCAGTGATGTGCTTCTGTGGGGATTAAAAGTAGAGTGTGATAGAGACATCCTTTGTAGCTTATTGTCGGTTAGTCAAAGACAGATTGCTTTCGAGCAGAATGTTTCATTTGTGAAAATTATGCAGTATCTTTACTTCTCTTAAATACAGAAAGATACACATTTCTGGGGAGCTCTTGAGAAATGCTCGATGTACTAAATTTGTGCCTCTTGTGGATTAGTGAAGAAGGTTAAAGTTCTGTTAAGTGTGATGCTTTAACTACAAATCTTTTAAGGGTTTTTAAAACATAAATAAAACATTAATTAAATTACAGGCAGTGATATTAAAGTTGGCACGTTTCTATAAGGTATGTATATGATGAAATGCATCCCCTATTAGGTGTACCAATTTCTCCTGATCCTTTAAACCAAATCTTAAGAAGATGCACTCCCTTTAGGAGAGCCTTCCCACTCTCCCAGCAGGTGTTTTGGAGTATAGTTCTCAACGTTACTGGCTTATAGAAGTTAAAATCAAAACATCTGATGAAGGCTGATTTATGAGATGGGTGAGCTGTCAGGAATATGATTAGTTATGTAAACAAACGATCCCTGAACTACTTATCTTAGAAGGTGGTTAAGGAATGTGTGTAGGTGTGCTGTGCAGGAGTATGCATGGATTAATATACAAATCAATTGAATACAGAGAGCATAGCCATCGTTTTTGTATGCCTTTCGATTGATTCCAACAGAAATATTGTTCTTACAATATCTCTTCATGGAATTGCAGGGAAAAACAGGTGAGGAGAGGAAGTGTTAAAAGGAACGGAAAACACTCCACCTGTGTAACATCCCAAGCTGCTACTATTAACATAATGGCCTTCCTAGTGTTGTTAGCATCCCCACAGTGATAAAATGCTTTTTGAAAGAGTTGATTATTTTAAAAAATAATAATGGAATTATGGAAAGGAGCAATATACACACTTAAAATGCAATAAAATAAAATCACATAAGAAATAACAAAATACTTAAATTGGCCACTGTGAGATTGACAGAAAAGTATTAGAAGGGCACACTTAATGCATGCAGTTCTAGAAGAAGAAAGAAAAGGCACATGCATAAAGACCTAAAGACCTAGCAAAGAAAAAGACCCTTACCCAGAGTTGGGAAAGACACTAGATTCAGCTCAAATTACCAATGTTTAGGGTAAGTTTTTATAGTTATTTAAGAGTGAATGCCAAATAAACAGGGTTGTGTTTAGTGATTCAACAATAACTAATACTCTGAATTTTCAAAAACATTTTCAAGGAGAGAAAATTTCCAAAGTTTATATCAAAAGAAATGGAGCACATGTATATAGAAGAATTGCGGTCTTCGGTGAATTTGCTAATGGCAAATTTGGAGAGTCTTCCGGTCTCTAAAGGTGGCCCAGAATTTAAACTACAGAAGTTAAAACGATCACAGAATTCTGCTTTCTTGGACATAGGAGATGAAAATGAGGTTCAGCTGTCAAAATCTGATGTGGTGCTGTCATTCACTTTAGAGGTAAGCATACATATCTTGTAATATTTCTTGACAGTTTAAATTACTCATGGATATTCCATTTCTTTGGGATTACTCAATGTTATGCTTACTTTCAGAATTTCTAAAGCAGCGCTATTTGTGCAGTCAAGATTTGAGAATTATTTGCTGGCAGAACTCTATGGTGCTTTTTTAAAATCTTTCTCAGGCAGTTTCAGGGGTCCCATGGCTCTGAATGTTAGTCTCTGCAGCTGTTGATGGCAAAAATTCTCACGTAAACCTAGATTATGCAGCTCAACATTTGTGTAGATGTCACATTACCTTTGTAAAGAGACTGTCACTATTTGTAATAATCCAAGAGAATAAAGATGATTGTTTGATCAGATGCTGTTTTCTTACATTGTTCCATCTTACTTGTTTTTCTCCTTGTCTGTTCCTTGACATAGTTTAGGAAGGGCTGAATCAACTGCTATGTCACTTCAGTTTGCAAGTAGAAGATCATTTGTATGTGTGTCTGTATATATAATATTGGGGCCAGGAATAGGGGGATCATCCTGATTTTCAACTGCCATTTAGTGGGATACCATGGCTGGTCAAAGTTTGTGCATTTTTGGAAGTGTGTCAGCAGAGAGTTCAGACTGCAGCTGAGAAAGGTGATGTTTGAAGTGGTGCATTCCAAGAAGGTTTGTGCTTTGTACCATTTCTTCACATTTCAATCAGTTTTCAGTTCACTGATAAAGCCTACATACAGGTTTATGTATAAGATTGTGTGTTGTTTGGTTAAATCTATTTCCTCTTCTCAATTATTTGACAAGCCACAGTCAGATTTTAAATCTTTTAATTCTGTATTTTGATTTCTTTTCTTTCTGATATTGTTCATCACTTCTGAGAATTTTGTTACATACAAAAGAAGTATACAGATCATGTAAATGACAAAAGAAAAAAAATCTACAGATATTGCAATTGATAGTTTTATTAGTAGAATTAAAGATAAACTAATTTTAAAAATGCTCTGTCAACTTTTCCTAATTGGAAGACAGTTTGCACAACTCATCATTTTCTTTCCTTCCTCTTCCCTTGAGGGTCCCTGCCATCCCTCCTTAAAAAAACCCCAAACCAACCCTCACTTTAGAGACTGTGACTGTGTGTCATTCAGGACTACAGTGTCGCCTGAACTCAGGTAGAAGGATCTTGCTCCAACTAGAGTAGCTTTAAGATGTGAAAACATAAATTCTAGCATCTCTGTCTTGCTGGGTCAGGGGTTGTTTTGTAAACATACCTTGTAGGCCATAAGCTTTTTAAAAGAATGCAAACTTTTTCTCCCCTGCCCCCCTTTCTGTGTTACTCTTCAAAGGGTAAGATGCTTTGCAGTTCATAAATCCAATCTATAAATCTAATTGCAAATGAAGGTAAGTGTGTCAGAAGCTGTGAGGCTGCATGTGTTCAAAATTGCTATTCAATCAAGGATTAAAGTTCAGGATGAGATTGCAGTAACGTTTCATAAGGTGAAAGCCATGTATTTCCAGGCATTCCCACCACAGATGGTGGTACCATGACAAGGGGTACAGGTTGTTATGAAGGGACTTATTTACAACTGTCCAAATCAAAATGGTTGAAAGCAGTGAGAGGGGGTGCTTTTATGGCTCTGGCTCCTCACTGGTTGGAGTTCAGAAAGGCAACACAGGATCAAATTGCAAACTTTCAGTAAGCCGTAGAGATATAATATGATAGTCCTGGGAGTATCATTCAGGTCTTTTTGTTAACAAGGAGGAATCGTTTTAGAGACAAATGCTCATTAATTAAAAAGGGAAACAGGGATAGCATTATGTGAGGAGAGAGAAATAGATTCCTTCTGATAGATTTCTACTCATGCTAGCAACAAATTACATGACCACAGCCTTATTACACCAATATTCCCCAAGCTATTGCTATCTGACCCAGACTTTCTTTCCTTTTTTGACATTAAAGGCATGCTTCAGTTTGCAGTCCAAGAGATAAGTGTGTTTTCCTGAGCTGTTCGCAGAGTTTTGTGCTTCAAGATAACCATGTTGTTACTTTCTCCTGGTGTCCTTCTCATTTTCATTTGCCCATCTCATCAGTGCTCAAGCAGTGAACCAGTGCCTGGGATCACCCCATGCTCTCAGGTGTGGTGCTTTTTGTGTTGGAGAAGTCCAGGACATTCTAAGTCCTACCTGTGGGTTCTGCTGTTCCCCATGTTCTGGAAATGTGGGATGGGAAAAGAATGCATGCTGTTTCAGGCATCCTCGCACACCCAGGAGCAGAGTAGTTGAGGGATGACACATAGCTTAATACCTGAAGGAGCACTGCCCGCCCTCTTTTGTGCACACCTTATCATGCCTCAACTTGTCCTCCTGGAATCACATTACTAAGCAAATGATAACACAAGAAAGTTGCAAATGCAAAAGCATCTCAACACTACCCACAGTTTACATAGCTGATGATTAGGATCCATTTAAACACAGTTGTGAGGGGTGGCTTTTTGCTGCCCCTTAGTCATTTTGAGGCTGTGTGTGTTTGTTTGACCATCAATTTTGTACTGGAAATGAAACGACATACTGACCTAGATGGCTCATCATGGTAAGCCGCAGTGGGTTGTGAGTGGTGTTTTTGCTAGTGTCGTTTACAGCAATTCAGTGTGATTTGTTCTGGCATGTGAATGCAGTGGTTTGTCTTGCAGTGACGGCTTGGCACACACCGTGAAGCTGCCTGGCAGGAGTTGCAAAAAGCCTGGTCATTCCATACAGTCTTGCTAGTGCTGCCAGAAACCTCCATCCCTGCTTGCTTTCCACTAATACTTGCGAACAAGTTTCTCATATAATTTTTCTGTAGTTTGCAAGTGTGCACATGCAACAGAAAAAGTATTTTTTAAAAAACCAAGGGTATCTGCATATTTCTGAAACACCCCCCCCCAAAAAAAAAGTGTAGAAAAACATTCCAGAAGGCAGTTGCAATCAGAGTGGGCAGGAAGCCAGAAAAAATTCCCTCCATGGGGATACAAAAATAAGAGTGGTGCAAAAGATGAGTGGGATATATGCTGGGAGCAGGTTGGAGGACTTAGGGCGGAACAAGTCACAACAAGCCACAGAGAGCTTCATCATCGGTCAAGAGTAACCTTGATTAGCAAGCGAACAACCAACCCACCATGGCTTACTGTGACATGGAAATCGATTCATTGTGATTGGAGACAGCTTGAATAACCATAGCAAATGATGGTACCCCCCTGCAATAGAATGTGAACCCTGCTTAGGATGCATCCTGTCCTTGCTAGGCATGAGGCCCAGGGAAAGTCTAGTGAAACACAGTGCTTATTGTCTCCTCTGGGTTACAGCAGGCATGGCAGGAGTCAAGTGTGAATCTTGGCTAATACACTGCAAGAAGTGAAGGCATGAGGGGCTGTTGTCCCAGCAAAGGATTGCAGTCAACTGAGTGCTTAACTCTGGAAGAGCCAAGTTTCTCAGTGGCTCTGTTGCAATTTCTAAAGAGTCAGTATCAGTTGGCTCAGACTTTTGCTCCTGCATGGCTGAGGGACAGGAGAAGCTGCATGGGAGAAACTGCGTCCTCAGGCCAAGGTTAAGCCAAAAGCCAGTGAGTCGTCGTGGTTAGAGTGTAGGCCTGGGACTTGGAAGAGCAGGTTCTCATTCTGTATTTGGTCATGAAGCTCACTGCGGTCCTTTGGGCTAGTTACTAAACTCTCATTTAAACCTGCTTTAAAGGACGATTGTGAAGAAAAATACTGAGAAGGAGGATTGTATAAGCTGGCTTGAATTTCTTGTAGAAAAAAGGCAGGATGCAAATATTATAAATAAATGATTGAAAGGGGTGCCAGGGTTCCCCCTGATATAGAGGGTGGCCCATCAAAAAATCAAGTCCTCCTCAGGCTTATGTAGAGAATCAGATGCAGGAGGTATGATTCTTCAAAACTCGGCAATAGCCACCTTCTTCCCATTATTTTTTAATGAGCTGCCTTCAGTGCCTCCTGCTTGGTAGAAAAGTGACATTTAAATTGAATGGATAAAATAAATATGATTGGGTTTCTATTTATGTTGACATCAGATTGTTGTTCTCTTGTATTTCCCTCGTGATTGCTTTGTCTGTTCAGTTACAAGTTGTAGAAAGAATCTCCTTGACCTTTTCATTTGAACTAAATACCCGTTGAGTATTTTTTTAAATGAAATATTTTATGCAATAGTACTCAAGAGAACTGCAGATTAATACATAAAGAACAGTCTGAATGATTAAAAAGAGAATTGTCCTCCACGTTTCTACATTGCCGTTTCATGCCCACTACATGCAATTCTGCCTGTAGCTTATGGCAAAGGAACAATGATTGAGTCGTACAAGGAGATGCCATTCTCCAACACCCTTGGACAAATAATCTTTTTAGAACTGGGAAGAAAGAGTTCATCCTGGGGGGCTTTTCACATATACTGAAACTGATAGATGCTTCATCTGTGGTAAATGAGCTATAACGTTATCAGTTTTCCCAAAAACAGCGGAGGAGGAAGAGAAATAACAGCTCCCTTGAGAAAAACAGCTCCCTTCTCTGCCCGCTTCGCAGTGTCTTTGGTGACAGGTTGTAACAATGGTGCACCTGTTTCCATTGAGGACATCTACACATGGTGTGCACATGTATCTGTTGCAACGGAAAAGCAACAGTGTCCAAACAAGATACTGTCAAAGGTTTGGCAAAGTGCCTTGTTTGCGGGAAATCCCATTCTGTGCCAACAATTTGCTTGGTGTTTGCACAGCAGCGATTTCCATACCTTCAAAGATAAGAAACTCTTCAATTAAGTGGGTTGATGCTTCAGTACCCAGTTCATTGTTTCCACTGGAGACAGTGGTATAACAGCATGTGCTGTTATATGCAGCTGGGAGCTCTGTGCAACTGGGAACCTACATGGGGGGCCCATTTCAAACTGAAGGCTATTTGCCAATGTGGATGAGATCCATGGTTCTTCTTCACCATGCCATTGCAATATCTTCTTGGATGGATGGATGGATGGATGGATGGACAGGAGCCCAGCAGTGCACCTTTTCCTACACACACATGATGCTGTTTTAGGGTTTGGCAACACACAGCAGCTCTGTACAGCCATAGCAATAGCAAGAGTGATTCTTAAGCCCACCTCTGTAGAATCATCAGGGTATATTCAGATATCATAGTCTGTAAATCTTGTCTGTAATGCTTGAGGTATTGACCTGATGAGTTTTAATATTGTTATGCTGATAGAGTGGGCTTTGTAGTGAACAATTGCAACTTGAAAGTATCTTATTGAGTCATAGATATAATTTTAATGTAATATAATATGCCTCAGCTTTCCCTAGTTTGTGTTGAATTATGGTGCACGTTATTCTTATCCATCACATCCAAACATTGCTGTAGTTGCATATGTAGAATTGTAGATTGACATTCAGCCTCTTAATTGCTGAATTGTATCCAAATATGCACTTCCAGTTATATTTAAGACATTGCTATGGGATAATTTAGTGAAATATAAATTAAATACAAGAAGATATTTATTTTCATCCATTAATATTTCTAACATTTGTTAATGGCCATGCCACATCTTACAACTTTATCTAATGTGTGTTTTTTCATTTTGTATTTAAGGACTACAGTGAGAATGCTGGTGTCAATTACTAAATCAAGTTTTAAAAAGGGGGTTAGGGTTCCAAATGTAGAATTTATTTGATTCTGTCCACTGATGAGTAACATTTTCACACAATTAATAAATAGTTTTTTTAAAAAAAAGATGAAGTGGTTATCTAGAAAAAATACTATACAAGCGATGGTTAATTCTTTTAAACTGGTTCAGATCCTGAAGCTCAGTTGTATTGCATGGTTTTTGCACCTACCTTATGCTGCAGACTTTATATCTTAATGCAGAAATGGTTGATTCCTATAATTTATATGTTTTGTTAAAAACATTTTGCATAAATGACACTTAGAGTAAAATTATGTTTGTTTGCTTCTTTGCTTTATGGTATATCAATAATTTGGGGGCTTCTTCATGCAAACTAGAAATTGGATGCTGAAAAGATGATAATCACTATCAAACCTAAAGATACTGGTTAGTACAGGCAAATGGGGACCCTAGTTTGGTACAGTTCACAGTGCATGCAGCCAAAACTGCCCAGTGTACATTTTTATTTTATTCCCAATACATTGTTCAGTATAGAGGAAGATCTGTCCATGAAAGCCGCTTTGCAGAAGCAGGGCATATTCAATAGGCTGGTGTGACTGATGGTTACCAATCACCATAAGTGGCTGACAGGAATAACTAATGTGTACACGAGTGTAATCTGTTGTGAAGTTGCAAGGATCAGGAGAAGAGACAGGGTGTGTTTTTGATAGCAGGATTAATACTGCAGCATCTTATATTATTGCTTCAGAAAATTTGTATAATGGCCTTCATTGAAAAAAAAAAATTCTCAGAGTGGTCTGTAAGCCATGCACTTCCTTGCTCCATTCTGTTAATACACATTTGCTGTGTCCCTTTTCCTTATTTAGATTGTTATAATGGAAGTTCAAGGCCTAAAGTCACTAGCTGCCAGCCGTATTGTCTACTGCACAATGGAAGTGGAGGGAGGAGAGAAACTCCAGACAGACCAAGCTGAAGCATCAAGACCACAGTAAGTGCTGCTTAATTTTTTTTTTTTTTTTTCCTCCGTGAGGATGTGTCTTCCATTTTCTGGGGAAGCAGTCTTCCAAAGTTGGCAGCAGCACCTTTTTAAAGCACAAACACATATGTGTGCATGCACACTCACAGATATACAGACATACCTGACAAGATACCGGTTTGGATGATATTGCTAATATTTCAGGAAGGCAAGGTCAACACGGAGAACAAATCAAAAATACCCCGTGAGCTTGGAGTGGTAATTTTCTTATAGAGCAGGTAATCAATTCAACTTTTCCACATTTTGAACTTGTATAGTTGATAAATAATAGACGAAGATAACAGTGTCGGTCTATGAAAAAAAATATAGAGAGCTTTTCTATTGCTTATTACCCAAGAATGCTGGGTGTAATCTTATGTCCACAGCTCCAATCAGTGATGAATTCATTCAGTCTGCAGTCTGCATTTGAAGACTGGTCTAAATGGCAAAACTCATCTTTTCTTCACCATCCCCTGGGTGTTTTGGTTCTTTGTTTATTTTTTTTACTTTCTAGCCTACTGAAGATTTCTGAAGAACTGCAAAGGAATGGTGTAACTGTGGATTCATGGTTATAGTTGACAGGAATTTGCAATTATCCTTAGTATAGAATCTTCAACAAATAAGATACTAATTCAGACTTTGGAAAGGGTTTGTACTCTTCCTGAGAAGAATATGAATAGTGCTGTTGTGAAAATTTCTTCTACATCTTTTTCAATCATTCTCATTTAGTCTGATACAAAAGAAATTGCTTTCCAAAGGAAAGTCAAAAGTAAAGGAAATGTTGGAGAAATTTTCATGGGTTTTGTTCAGGGGTCTTTTGCTTACCTGTCTTAGAAAGTGGTTAAGGAATGTGTGTGGGTATGCTGTCTTTTATTGCACAATCATTTCACTGGCAGCCAGTAACTTCCAGGACTTCCAAAAATCAATTAAAGCCTGGGGAATTTATCATTGTGCCATTTCTTCCATATGGATTTTCCAGGAAGCATGCAGTACCCTTGGTCACTTCACAATGATAAACTCAAAAACACCACCAGAAAAAATACAAATGTCTTCTATAATTCATTTTATAAAGGAACTATAAAATGCCTTCCCCGCAGATTTTTTTTTTCAGAAAAGCACTGAGATTTTCCTTTTCTTAGCGGCATCCTACCCCGTCAAATTGTATAAAATACGAAAGATAATCTAATCTATCCTTTACATTTTCTTCTTTTTTGTATTTTATTTCTTTTAAGAAAACAATAAAAATTAAAACATTGTAAAAAAATACATTTCTGAGGAATTTTCTCCAATATTAATGGTGACTGACCTTTTCTTTCCTTCTCCCCACAAAACCCAGAACAATTCTATGTATGGGCATTGCCAAGGAGGAAACAACATGGGGCAAGGATGCCAAAACAGTAGCTATTTGATAACAGCAGCCAACTGTTGCTAAATTTCTCCTCCTGTTCAAGAAATTCAGTGAAATTGTTCCCCAAAATTCTCTGCTCACAACTAGAGTGGAGATTTGTGAGAGGCCATTTGAGCACAGCTCTAATACAAAATGTCATGTACTTCTAACATGTACTTTTTGAAATGCAAAGGTTTTATTAAAGTTTGTTATGGGATAAGTTGGATACAAAGAATATATTAACTGAGCTGTGTTTGTCTACTTAGACACATACATGATTTAAAATTAGTTACCAGTCTTCACAAAGCTTGCTTATCCTTCCAGTTTATTTCAGGAATGGAGAATGTGTGACCCTTCAGATGTTGCTGGACTTCACCCTTCATCATCCCTAGCCAGCAGAGCCAATGATGAGAAACCATGGGTCTTGCAGTCCAACAACATCTGAAGACCATTTATTCCCCATGCCTTGGTTACTGAATTTTAAATTGTAGGATAGTTTTTCCCGACTTACTACTGCTTCAGATGTCTTGGGCACCACCCAAACCCAGCAGAACACCATTGGCCTTCTATCTGTAGATGATGAGATCTGTAGTCCACTCAGTCTGGAAGAGCACTGGGTTGGTGAAGGTTGTTGTAAGGTATACTTAATTCAGTTGATTTTTAGAGAATACAGTTAGCAAAGGGACTGTATGGGGAAAGCGTCATGCCTTCCAGTTTGAAATAGCCAGACTGGTATTCAGGAAGATAAATATGTTTGGAGTTGATTTGATTGACCTCTGGGTTTCACATTTTCTTCAAAGGCCTTTAACTTCTGTTAAAATGCCATCCAGAAACTTTGGTAGATGTGTTTTAAGACCGATTTTCTGAGTGTATTTTCCCCCTTCCTGCTCTTTAATGTTTTCTGTGAAAAGCAGTTTTGAAGATTGCAGTCAAAGAGTTCTTTAAATGAAAGTCATAAAGTTGGTCATTTGTTCAAAACAAGTTTTAAAATGCATTAGGAAAAGTTATAAGCTTATAAAGGTGATTATGCTCCTTTAACAAAGTGCTATAGACTGGAACTTTATTCAGACATGAAAATCTCTTTCTAATTGTTTCATATGTGGAACATAGCAGCCTAGGAAGCTGCCTTATTTCAGGCCAGACTATCTGTCCATCTTTTATGGCACTACCTCCACCTCTCCTTCCTGGAAGAACCTTTTAACTTGAGAATCCAAGGACTCAGTCTTGGACCACGTGCTCGTCTGTCTAGCTGTAGCTCCCTTTGTGTTGGTGATTGCTATTTCAGTGGTTATTTTCCATTTAGTGGCAACTGCATGTTCAGTGGCAAGTAGAAAACAAAACTCACCATTTGCTCCATTTAATATAACTGGAGAGCAGCATTCAGAGAACCTGTGGACAGCTGCACTTTAAAATATTCAAATGGACTTCTGGACTTCTGAATATAGTAGCAGATGTTTGTTGGAAATGGCTGGTTTACAAAAAGGGAAGCTTTGGAATGGGCATGATCACCCCAGAACTCTTGGACTGATAATATACCCTGGAAAGCAAAATGTCGTTGCACGGTGGTAGCTAAGCTAGCAGTTTGAAGGCAGACTGTGCCAGGAGAACAAGAGTTGACACAGACTTCCGTACGAGTCTCAGATTGAAAAATCTCTTTGACCCCAAGTCAGTTTGTGAAGGGTGGTAAAACGAACCCACTTCATGTAGGAGTGCTGTCCACTCCAGCTATGCGTAATTTGCCATAGACATTGCTCACCTATCTTACCTTGTGTTTCTTGTATGAATACACTCTGCGTTGGGGAGATAAGAGAGAAAGAAACAGACGAGGAAAGGGAAGCATAACAGAGGAGGAGAGAATGGAGAGTGTAGAAGGAAGTGATGACAGAGAAAAAGAAATGGGTGATAATGTGGAGCAGAGAGAAAGATAACAGAGATATAATGGTGGTTGTGGGAGAGATGGGAGATAATCTAGTGATTACCTAACTTCTTTGGGGGATGGATTGTATATTAATTGTACCAGTCAATATGTTTCCTGCAGTCCTCTAGTAGTAATTTATTATATAAAACTGGACATCAAATATTAGCTTTCCATGCTACCATTAGGTGAACTTTGTGGAAGGAAGGCAATAACAGAGATTTAGAACAGTCTCTTTGTCGGGATCAAGTTCCTAATGTGGTCCAGGAATGGTGCTTAGCCTCTGAACCAAAAGAACAGTTAGAAATCACACAAATATATGCTCAAAGTCTTCATCCAATCACACGCTTCAGAAAAATAATTTCAAGCAAAACATTGAGATAAATAAAATCTTGTGTTTGTCCTAATGTTTGTATGTTTGCTGTAGTAGTTCAAACTGAAATTATACTAAAGGATGATGTAACTGTGATTTTTTTTAACACATGGATGTACCTAATGATGATAGAGGCACTGTATGCACATGTTACCTGCGTGGACAAGGTACATGTGCACATGGGGGAATGGGGCCATGCCCCAACATTACACATGCAAGTGTATAAAGTTTGACTTTATGGATGTTCTTTGAGTTCTTCCTCAAAAGCTTCTTCTCCCATGCATGCATTTTTTCCAAGCAGGAAAAAAATGTGCAGTTTCCCACATAAGCTAAATTTAGGACAGGGAAGAACTTTGCACATAATCTGCAGTTGCACACTTCTGAACATGAACACAAGCTCAGGAAACTGCAAACATTTCTGAAGAATTGTATTCTTGACCTGCTTACATTTGGAGTTGCAAATAGAACATATTAGCATGATACAAAAAACAAATGAAACATAGAAACAGAGAGAGTCAAAAGGGGTCTCACAGGCCATCTAGTCTGACCCCCAGCTACAGACTGCTCCACTCACGACATGCCCACCATGTGCATGTCTAGCCTATCCTTCCTCACCAATGGGGCCTCAACCACCTCCCTTGGAAGCCCATTCTATACCCTCGGGGTCCTAACTGTCAGGAAGTACTTCCTGCCATCCAAATGGAACCTTGGTTCCTTGAGCTTTGCTCCATTGGAGCATGTCCTGCCCTCCTCTGCAGGGGAGAACAGGTCTCTACCCACCTCCGTGTGACACACCTTCACATACCTGTATGTCACCAAGAGAGCCCCTCAGAGTCTCCTCTTCTCCAGGCTGAAAAGACCCAGTTCCTTCTGTCTTGCCTCATACGGCTTTCCCTGCAATCCAGCCACCAACCTTGTGACCCTACACTACTGTCTCTAACCTGGCTATATCCTTCCTGTAATGAGGGGCCCAAAACTGAACACAATTCTCCAGTTGCAGGTGCACCAGAGTCATGTAGAGTGGTCTATAATTTCCCATGTCCTTTCTACTACCCTTTTTGAAAATTGGGACCACTGATGCCACCCTCCAATCCTCTGGAACTTCACCCGTTCTCCACAAGGCCTCAAAAATGGAGGCCAGTGGGCGTGAGAGAACCCCTGCCAACTCTTGAAGTAAATGAAAATCATCCCAACAGTGTTCACACATGTACACACCTTAGAGGAGATTTGAGGAACTCTAAGTAGTAATCTTGATTAGGAAAATGTTAATATTAATTCTGTAAAGAGAGTAATATATC